GTCTAAGGCATTTCTCATTAAAATATCACCACGCATCAGAGCTCTCTGATCTTCAGACAAATCACAGCTAAAAATCAACCAGACACCATTCTGTTTAATTTCAAATCAAGAGAAATTTAATGAATGCTTATTAATTTTCCCTCAAGGCATTTATGGTCTAGCAGAGTGGTTGGCTGGGGGCTTGTGAACAGAGATATAAAATGAGTAAGAAATGGCAAAGCGGGATTTGATGAGGCTGTTCTCTGATGCAGGCTCGGAGAAGGGAAAGTCCCGTCTGCTTGGAGGGACCGACAAGGGTTTTCTGGTGTTTTATACGCTCCTGAGCACGTAGGGGACCCGGCCGGATCCTGCCAGGATGAGAGAATTAGTAGTGTCCCACACGATCACACTTAGAGCTTACGATTAAGAAAGCCTTGACAGCTTTTCAAGGGAGACTGGCCTAGCTTTTTAGTTACCGGAACCAAACGGACGATGCCGCCAAAGTCTAGAGATCAGTGCTTCCCCTCTGTCCTCTCTGCCAAATGACAGGGACTTAGATTTCTCAAGTCATGGGCTGGTGTGAATGAGAAGCCACAGTTGAAAGCATCTGGCACAGTGGAGCCTCTTTATGATGCCCGCAGCGAAAGGCAACAGTACCATCTTCGACTGAGGCTTTCCATAGTTACTGTAACTTTTCAGGACATAACCTATGCATACATAATGAAATCTGTCTCATAACGAGGAGCAAGATTTGTTATAATGACACAGAACACAATCTAAGCTTCAGTTGCAATTAACCGAGAGGTTTCCAGCTGCTGTTCGTGGGGGCGGTCATCTCTCGCCACCAAGGGACAGCTTGGCACGCTGATGCTGTTCCGTACAGCAGCGCCCACCCCCTCATCTCAGTATTTCCTCCTGGCTGTTCACCATAACAGCGCTTCACACATGCAGAACAACTAGACAAAGTCTCGGCTGCAGGTAGAGCAGGCCCCGTCCCTAAAGCCTAAAAACGTGCTGGTTTTCTTTACTTAAAAAATACTCATCAATAGTAATAGCGAAACTTACGTAGAGCTTGATGGTTCCCTCACGGGAGCATTCAAGCCTTCTGCTTCCTGGTCAGGATTCTCCAGCAAGCCACCCACATGGCCTCTTCTGCCTTACTTTGTAATCCCTTGTAATATAATTTCTGTTCCTGATTTCCTTTTCATTCATTCATTAATTCATTCATTTATTCATTCACTCATTCACTCATTCACTCACTCATACAAATGCATGTTTTGAGCGTCTGCAATGTGCCGGGCTCTGTGCTAGGTGCTGGGGTGCAGAGATGAACAGAGAGAACTGGTCTTCGTCCTCAGGAAGTGCATGGTCTAGAGAGGGAGACTCTACTGAACGTCTCTTTCCAAAGAAATACTTAACCCCCCTCCCCCCAGGCCGGCAGCGATTCAGCTCAACACTTACTAGGCACCTACTATGCGTAAAGCATGGTCTTGGGTTTTTCACCAGAGCAACAAGGATTCCCGTCCCTCAAGAGTCTTTGGGAAGATCACACATTTATACGAGTAACTGGAAACAGACTGGAAGATATTGAGGGCCGTAGTAAAAGTTCAAACTCAATGATCTATACGTTAGGAGCGAGACAGAAAGAGAAGAGACAGCACTTCTCCGGCTACGAGAATCCAAGACAGCCTTTTAGATGACGGGACATTCACGCCGCCCCAGTAGTTACAAAGAACTCAGAGGTCTCCCCTGATTTGCTCTCCACTGTCTGTCTGTCTTTAAGAGATTATTTAAAGGGTGGGAAGTATCGGCGGCATTTTACAGATGGGAAAACAGAATCCTAGAGAGGTTGCCGTCCATCTGCGGTCCTGCGACAACCCGGGGGCGCGCCTATGGGAAGCCCAGTTCCCCACTTCCCAGCCGCAGAGCAGACACAGCAGCTCCGTGGGGTAAACTGCGTTTTAACTGAACTGTCTGTACTCCTCTCTGAATGCCGCTGCAGAGGCGGGAGTGTGTGTAGCTTGACAGACTCGTTTCTGCTACCAGCTGCTTCTGCAGAGGGTTAGGGACTTAACCCCTGGGAGGAGCGGTCACTAACAAGCATGCTCTGAGACTCGCGAACGTTTTTTAGGTGCTCTGCAATGTGAGCTGACTGCAGACTGCCTGGTGCGCTCCCATCTTAGAAAACCGGGGTGCCTGCACGTCGCCGGTGGGCGTACCCCCAGTCTCCGGGGCCAGGGCTGATTAGGGTCCTGCAGAATACTGGATTTTAATCTTGCACATCCGTAGCTTGCTTGGGGGGGGGGGCGCTGTGTCCGCAGCCAGGATGACACAGGCGACGTGACCGGGGAGGCAGGTGTAGCCGTGTGGCTTCTCTGTGTTCTCGGCCCCACTGTGGGGACAGAGCGCTGGGGCCGGGTGGCTTTCATCCGTCCATCGCCACCCCACTGAGAAGTCCTGAAGGGACTGAAGCAAGGACCGTGCCTGAGACGGCAGCACCATGGCCACCTGCAGGCTGTCCCTCTGGTCCCCCTCGTCTGTCTGTCCGTCCTACCTGTGCCCCCAGACTGCAAGACGCCCGGCGAGCTTAGGCCTGTGGTCCCTTGGGGTGTCCCTGAGCAAGTTCTGACACCCTCCGAGCCAAAGTCTGCTCAAGTGTTAAATGTGGCTCGAAGCACCACCTTTAGTGACCGTGAGGACAATTGGCCGCGTAATGCACTTAGCACAGTACCTCGCACATTTTCAGCGCCCGATAAATGTCGTCCGTTGCCATTTCTGTGCTGCCCCTGCCCACTCCCTCCCTCCCTTCTCTCCTCTTTCCGCTTTGTCTTATCTGTGACAATCAGACCTCCCCTTGGAGCCGGCACTGGACCACACCGATACTTAGGTGACGCGGGGCGTAAACTCCCTGTCCCTGACGATGCGAGTGATGGGAATGTAGGAGACAGTGCCGTCCCTTGTGCTTCAGTTCTGTTTTTTATCGAGCCCTGAAAATAACACCTGCTTGTGACCGCACAGCAGCAGGTTGAACTACTCGTGTCTAAAACACGGCATTTCCTTTCCTTTTCCTCAAAGGAAAATGCTGAAGGAAGAAAACGAGGCCGTAATGCATAGTCCGGGTATTTTGCGTCTTATTTCGCACTGATGCGCAGACAGCCCATCATCTGACGTGAGCCCTCAGGCACCACTCAGTGACGGCATCTGTGCACCATCTCCCAGGCAACCAGAGGCTTTCAGGCCACCTTCGTCAAGGTCCCTGACGTTCAGGTGTCTGTTTTAAAGTCACATGTGCTCCCACCAAGGGAAGGTGTGATCCTCGGGCTACAGAATGATCCTCGGTCTAGAAGGTGGCTTTTTCTCCAGTGTGAATATACTCCCCTGAGCTTCGAGAGGATGAGCTTGAAGGGGGGCCGTAGGCGGTGGGGAGATGGGAAGCAGAGGTTAAAAATGGCTAAAAATACACTGTAACAGGACCCTGTTGTTGGCCCGCCGGGTCCTCCTTTCGAGCGGCACCATCAGATAGAGGCGTGGTTGGTTCCACATGTATAAACATAGATGGCTGTTTCCGGGCCATTTCAACAACAGCTGTAATAAGCGGGAACCATGTTTGCCGCCTGGCAAAATGGACGGAGGCCTCCGTCTGCTAATGCTTTCGGCTCACCACCTTGTCCTTCTTTCGACAGTTCGCAAAGGTTACCGGATCCAAGCTGACAAAGAGAGAGACTCCATGAAGGTCCTGTACTATGTCGAGAAGGAGCTGGCTCAGTTCGACCCGGCCAGGAGAATGAGAGGCAGATGTGAGCATCTGTTGGTTTTATGTGATCTGTGCATTGCGCGGGAGTTCATAGCTCAAGTTCATAGCTTGGGGGTGACCAAACTTGGGCAGCCCTTGGCTTTCAGGGTCAGAACCAGCAGGGGTGGAAGGAAGGAAGTAGTTTCCAGCATGCAGAGGGGCGGGAAAAGGGACTTCAGTCGTGACGAGCAGAGCAGTCATGGACCACCCTCGTTTATGGTGGGGCTCTCCATGGCGGTCGGTGTTGCTGGGGCTGTGCAATCCTGGGTTTGGGAATGTTTTATTAAAACGGTCTTTCCTCACTACCCCCTGGAAAATATACTTAACGTGGAAGTTCAGGTATCAGTCTTTTCTGACACAAAAGTCCCTAGCATTGAACGACGGTGCAGCTGGCGACTTGCTGCGTGGAGACCTCCGTGAAAGCGGAAGAACAAATCTGCCAGTTGAATCTCACAAAAAAAGAAAGAAAGAAAGAAAGAAGCCTCCATCCCTCTGAGAAGCCCAGCAGCAGAGAAAGGGTGCCAGCAAAGAGGCCGCCCCACTTGTCAAGAGAACTTTTCGATTACCGAGTCTGTAGATGGCAGGGCCGCACAGCCCTCGGAGACTTTGCAGCTGACTCTTTGGGGCGCATTCTAAATGACCATCCCTTGGGAGAGGCAGCACGGGGCAGGTCCCACGTGGACGGGCTCGCTAGCAGAGGGTGCCGCAGGCGTGGGCGCGAGCTCACCGCATTTCTCTCTCTGATCCTCGCCCTGGCACCAGCGAGAGATGCGATGGACTCGCTGGGGAAGCCGTCCCAGACTCAGACGAAGGCCAGCAGAGTCCCCCAGTTTGCAGTTCTAAATCCATCCTGTCTGGGCTGCATCCACCGCATCATCCTCCCACCGCAGGGACTATAAAAAGACGGGCTCCAGATTGGAATGTGAGGAATGCAGATGTCAGTGCACTTGACAAGCTAGTTGTCACGGTGTTGCCGTGGATCTCTGGAAGGGGACAGAGATGGAGATGGTAGGCGACCGAGGAGAAGGGGCCTGTGGAGGGAATCTGTGACTCTCACAGCTCGGAGAAAAAGATAAAAACTGAGCTTAAACATAGAGGAGGGGTCCTGGGTTAGGTGACGTCGCCTGTCCACCTGGATCGAGGTGGCCTCTGGGGGCTGGCCGGTCACGAGGCAGTGGGATCTGAGCGTCCAAGGGGACTGGGAGGTGGCCTGCGTCAACCTCTGCAGTATAAGCTGAGAACACAGAGGCCAGAGGGTCGAAGTGACAGACTCAGACGAGGACCCTGCCCCTGACTCCTGTGCTGTGCTCTCCACACAAGAGAGTTTGGGGCAAACCGTGGATGGCTCTGTGGCTGCGGGGCAGTTTCTGCTCCGAGACCACAGCGCCCAGCTCTCAGGACCGTCCGTGGTGTGCTGGATCTGGGAGAGACTGAGGTCGCCGAGGCCCCGCCCCTCGTTTCCCAGAGGACAGGGAAGTCGCCAGAGCCCAGACTTGGTGCCAACGCCGGAACTGGAACCCAGATCTCCTGGAGCCTGCTGGCGGACATCACAGCAACAGCACGGAGATGAAGCGGGAACGTAGTTCACGTGACCTGGAGAGGGTCTCTTGCCGAAGAGCAAAGCAAGCCCTGGGGTGGACCACGGACGCGAGACAGTCTTGAAGACCTCGTCATGGGCGCGTGGGTCTCACGGCTTCAGGTCGCAGCACGGGAGTGACAGAGTCTGTGAGGACCGAGCCAGGCCCGTGAGCCGGCTCGCCAGTGTGGCCCTCCCTCGCCTTGCCCCTCGAGACTGAGCTTGTAGTCTGGAATCCCCGTGCGGGGACGCAAATGTCACTAGTGCACAGCCACGCCAATCCAAGTATGTGTTGTCTGTGACTCCTCTCATGCTACGCTGACAGTCGGACAGTCACTACAGCATGGCTTGCAAAGCCTGAAACGCTTCCTGCGTGGCCCCTTACAGCCCAGGTTTGCCTGCCCTGTCCTGTACCGTCCTGTCCTGGAATTACGGTGTCAGGCGTCTTCGAAGCAGGGGAGGTTGATGCTCACGTTATATGTGGCAGAAATTTCAGAGGAGCAGACAGCGTGGACAGCCCATCGTGTGAACGGGGGAGCAGAGACAGCCCTCACTATCTGGGGGAATGACAAATCCGCATTGTTCTCTGAAGTTTAAGGAAAGTTCTGAGCCAAAGCTGGGATTTTTCGGCAGTCACACTGGACTAGTGACAGCAGCCACACATGGCGCACTCTAAAGTTCTCTTCCGTATAGTCCCCAGGAGATTGGAATTCACTGGATCACGAAAAAAGGAAGGTTCTGGATTATACTAATCAAGAGTAGCTGAGCTAAAATAGGCGCTAACTAGTCCATTCTCCTTAGGAGGAAGAAAGGTTTTAAAATTAAATTATAACTCAAAACCAAGTGATTGCATGGCCAAACTGAATGCCATTCCTGGTCAGCACTGTGTCCTGGTAAGAAGGGACAGGAGGCTGTGCTCATGCCGTGGGGGGCAGGGGGGACCTCCCACCGGGAAGAATGCTCTGCCTCTCCGAGGGCTGAGGGCTGCTGCGGGTGGGAGAAGTGGAGAGGACCCCAGGCCCACGCGTGTGCCTCCCACATCCCAGCTTGGCTCACCTCTCACTCCAAAGCCAGACCTTACACATTGTAAATGCTGATTTTGATAATGTTTTGAAATTCAAAACAAAGGATTTTAGAAAACGAATGGCTTGAGTTACATTACAAATAAATTCGCTATATTTATTCTTTAAAGTAAAATAAAATTCAATCCATTCCATCTCAAAGTTCTATAAATAAATAGGGTTTTTTTTTCCTCTTTCCAGATTGTAATTCTGGTCCTTGTTCACAGTGCTTTTGCAGAAAGCTAGCCAGACCACCTCAGGGAATGAGCTAGGTGCGACCAGGCCCCCCCTTGACATCACGGGGCCGGGGGAGTACCGCAGTGGAGGCCCGCAGGCCGCACGCACAGGCAGTCCCATTTTCTCCCCACCGCTCCAAACCGCTTCCTGGTTACCATGGCCACATACACCGGGATGCTCTTTGGGAAGAGGAAGAGGTCTTCCTGGGCCCTGGACGTGGACTTGGTGCCATTTGAGGAGGACAGTCCCGGTTCCTAGATGAGATTCCAGAAGGGGGGTGATGGATGGACGCTGGGTGTGCACACGCCCCCGGCCCCGTGGACGCCGTGCTGCGGAGACAGGCCGGGATGCCTCTGCAGCGTGGGGTGGCGCTGACGGCCCCCTCCGGGGACCAGCCAGCAGTGGGGAGAGCCTGTATCTGCGGCTTCTCTCCCTTTTGCCCCTTTTGGCTTAACCGTCATCTCAGAATTACACAAGAGCGACATCTGAACGGGGACGGTGATGTACGAGGAGACAGCCTCTGAGAGGCCGAGGTCCAGGACGCCTGCCACCTTCTGTAGGCGAGTGCGCTTCTAGCCAGGGCCGGTCCCCGCTGAGCAAAGCGCGCGCGCACGCGCGCGTGCACACGCACACACGCACACACACACACACACACACACGACCGGGGCCCTCGGGCGGGGCTTCCTCGAGGCGCCGGGCCTGGGCTCTCACCATCGCCGGAGTCCTCACGCCGTCGAACATGGAGAAAGCTCTGTCGGGCCTGGTTTTGTCCCCGCAGATAACACCACCGTCTCAGAACTGAGCTCCCTGCATGAGGAGGGCGGCAGCTTCCGCCAGTCTCACCACCAGATGCGGAGCCATCAGTTCCCTGTGTCCGGGGACTTGGAGAGCAACGCTGACTACTGGTCGGGTGTCATGGGAGGCAGCAGTGGGCCGAGCCGGGGGCCCTCGGCCATGGAGTATAACAGAGAGGACCGGGAGAGCCTCCGGCACAGGTGAAGGTGGCAGCGCCTTCTGGTGCTGGGCGGGGGGCGGGGGGCGGGAGGCAGGGCGGACCTGAGGCTGTGCTCACCGTGCCGCGTCTCTGCCATTCCCCTGCCACGTCCCGTCCCTCTTCCTATGGCTACTGGACATCCCTTCCCACATTTACCGTGACGCCGCGTGCAGAAGTCATCAGTGAGGCCCTCCGGGACGGAGACTCTAGACCCCTGAATGAACTTTGTAGCATTTCCCTGCCTTTCGCACGTATTTTATCCTGTAGCCTCTAAAATATCCCGCCCATCATCTCTGTCACTTTTGATCAGTTGTCCTGTGAAAGGGAGGATGCCAAAGGCGACAGCCCGGTGCCCAAGGAGAGTGGCAGTCAGTTCTGGCAGGAGCCGCCCAGCATCCCCTGGGGGCAGGCTGGGGCCACAGCCGTGGGGACTGCACTTCGCCCTGAGTGGGGGGCGGGGGGCGGTTGCAGGGTGTGAGCAGTGACACGCGGCTGTCAACCACAAGTCACAGAACGATCAGAAGGCGCCACGCATATTCAGGCCCCTAGGGATCACCAAGTGTTGTTATTCTCACAACCGCATTTGGACCCTTAGCACAAACCCACGAGGGCACGTAGCCTTCCCTTCCCTGTGGGCAACGCTACCGCGACAAGCGACGAGCGCAGCGCCGCGCCCGCTCCGGCCAGGTCTCCGGCCCCTCGCAGCCGCGCCGCCGCCTGACCTGTGTCCCTTGTCCCGCAGCCAGCAGCGCTCCAAGTCCGAGATGC